AAAAAAAAAATGATTAACCTTTCTCATTCATTATAAAGGCTGGTCATACACAGGTTTGTCATCATACTTATTCAGTGTCAGGGGTTTATTGAACAGCTTCTCTACACTTGCTTTTGACGCAGATGTGGACGTGTGATACGCACTCCACGGGATAAATAACTTTACGTTTATAGGATACGAGTGGTAGAAGAAGCTGTCTTGGAAAACTTCCATCCTCCGAGGCTGCTGGTCCTCGCTGACACCGGGCAGACATACAGGTGCAGCTCCCAGCGAGGCTGCTAACGTTAGCCGCTAACTTGTTGGGTCCTTTTTCGCTAACGTCAGCCGAACGCCGTTTAAACTCATTCAACCATTTTCAGAGCGGAGATAAACCTGCAGAGGAAATGTGCGGATCCACATCGCAGCAGCGTCTCCCGAAGAATGACAGGCTCGCTGGTCCTTTATAAAAAGTGAGAAATAACGCGGCTAAGTTGTCACTTTTTCTAGCTGTTTCACCCGAGTCTGTCTGTGTACAGTCCCTCCATCATAGCAACCGAGGACGCAGTTCCTTGACAACGGAGATCGGGGTGGTTGTACCCGCCATGTCCAGCAGAGGGCTCAGGGCTCGATACAGGCATGCAGCCTTCAGGGACACCTGGTAGTGTCGTAATACTTACTACTCTCAACAACAGAGTATGGCTGAAAGCAAAGAGCTAAATAAAACACGACCAAAATAAATTGTTTTAGAGAGAGAATAGAAGAATAGAGGATGGATACAGAGTTATGCTATTATGTTCGGAATATATAGGCTAATACTATAGTATAGTTTTAATATTATGATTAAGTAAAGATTAGGAAAGGGATGCTTTTGACATTTAGGGTTAGGGTTAGGGCTAATACAGTATTTATATATATTATATATTTTCGTCATGAAATATTGTATAAAGTTTTTGTTGGGTGACCAATGACGACGAACATATCTATGTTGATATTATATCTGCCCTCTTACATGTAAATCGGCATATAAAGACATACAATGCACTGCATGTCTATAAATGTATATAACATATAAAATAAATCTATGTAACATAAGTCAAATCTGAAAGATTTACAGCTTAAACACATTAACAGCTTGACCTTTAGCTACATGTAGGCCAACCTTAACACAATTTATATCTTCATTTTAAACAGTTTACATTCTCATAATTGTTTTTGCATAGCTTATATACTCTTGGATGATGCCTCTCGTGAAATATAAAGGTGTGTTGTTATTACCTGGTACATTTGATGGCACCATGAGTTAAGAGGATTTATGAAAATCTGCTTTTTCTAGATTGTTTATACTCCCCTATGAACAGGGTCCACTGCATCAAATCTATTTTCAGTGTGTCATACACCATACTGAGTATTAGTGGTCCTATTGCCTGCAGCCTGCACACTGACAATTACACATAGTTCTTAAGAAAATAATCCCTTAGCCTTCTGCCTCAGTTTATGGCACAACCAGTTAGGTCAATGCAGTACTGCTGTGTTTAAATCCTCTATTAGTTTGACAAAGTACTTTAATATCTCGCTTTTTGGACTTACCGGCCACAGTTATGGAAAATAAAGGAAATTAAACTGAGGTATAAACAGTTAAATCAGGACCCAAAACAGGACCAAAATGTATTCAACAAATGCATAAATCCCATGTTATAAAACACACCTTAAAACCTGCTAGAAAACCGCCCAGTAGGCGTGCAGAGGCAGCACCGTCAGCAGAGAGCCAAGGTGGGAGGCAGGGTGAGAGTCAGTCTGACAGGTGGTCAAGAACATGAGGGAGTATATGAGTTGCTGCTGGTCGCCTTTGGACGTTTTGTGTCGTAACGACGTGATGAAATGAAAGTAAAGTAATTTGGGACATCAGTCTTCTGTAAGGTGAGTGGACCATTCGGTTAGACTTTTATAATATTGCTTTGAAACATATAATACAATTATTTTCACAACAGTTGTGAAATGTCTGTGTTTGGTAGACTTCTAAGGAAAAAAGCTCCAGGCCCATGATATTCCCAAAAGGATCAACAGTATGAGACTAGTAAGATACTCTCATAGGCTGATCTCACCCTGCAGTATCCCATGTTTCGAATGGGATGCCTCTCCTTGTCATGTATACACTGATGTCTTCTTCTCTACAGGTTGATGGAGGAGATGTAGTATTTTTTTTAAATTACTATAAATGTTGAGTGTTTATATTACCTGCACATGCACAGAGCTCACCTGACATTCACTGCAGAAGTATCTTATCTATCATACAGAGCATCATTTAAGTAGTGATGTTACTGTAAGTTTTCAATCATGCCACTGCAGAACACTTTCTGTCACTTTCTGTCATGATAACAGCAGCAGAACAAAAAACAGCAAGGCATTCTTAGAAATCCAGGCCGGTAAATCCACATGGAGATGCTACCTATCACCAAAATTGAGTTTTTATATGTCATATTCATGATCATACTAATTTAAATATGATTTTTAGACCTTCTCTGGCTGAACATCATGACACAATTTTCATTTATCTTGTCTCAGCTGATGTCTTAGATGAAATTTCAAAGATGAATTTGTTGAATTCAGTCTGTATTAAAGCAAATTCTGTATGTACTGCATGTGCTAATCAGGTAATGTAAAATCTCATTAACACAAATTATGATTGAATGAACGGACGTTGTCATCGTCTGTCATCATTTTGTCCTGAAGCAATTAGCTCCTGAGATAACCACGTTATTCAAATGTAATTACTGAACAGAAAGTAGATTTGCTCATTTGGCAATGACACAAAACATGATTAGTATTAAAAATAGTCACTGTCATATGGTAGTATAGTCACAGTCTAATGAATGGAGTTAACATCATACTTCAACCACTGGAATAACTATCAAATACTTGATGACATTCTCAATAATATAATATTTCAGAAATGCAAAATAAATTTGTGCAACTATGAGGCAGAGGCTGAGTGGATGGACAGTGCCAGGCCATGAAATGAAGGAGAGCAGATGATGAGTCTGTGGGTGGTGTCACACATGTAGTGAGAGTTATAATTCATCTGAGACCAGCTGTCCATTGCACATCGTTGTCCATTCACTTCTTAAGTCAATACTGTGTCATTCTAAAGGCCATAGATGGGTCTGATGTTAATTTACCTAAGCAAGTAGACTACTTGTCTTAAAGCAAGACAATCATTTTTTTCCGGTATCATAAACAAAAATTAAGAAAAATTGCATGCATCCGATTTTCTGCAGTAGAGACACAATCCTCCTGAATTTCATTTAGCTGACAGGTGTGATGAATTTTCGTACTCTCTTTTAAAAGTAGAAAGGAGAGTTGATGGTATCAGATTTGACACAAGCTCAAACCTGAGCCAAACTACCACCTATCAGCTAAGACCACAAGGCAACCATTCCTAATGTCAGAGTTCATTCCCATCAACAAAGACACCTTGCTCTCTTGACAGCTTGTCCACTTAAAAAAATATAAAAAATGTTTTTATCTCCATAGAAATGGAAGTTCTTAACATTACTACTATCTGGCACCTTTCCTTCAGCCTTGAAAACTAAACCCTTTTAAAAATGTTTAACCTAGATACCACTACCTATCTCAAATATATCCGTTTCAGGAAAAATTAAAGCCTGTTTTTAATCTGCTAACACACTTTTTAACTTTAAATTACTGTTTTGATGCATTTTAATCAAGTATTCATGCCTATCACATCACAGAGACAACTCCTATCAAGGTTTAAAATTATGTTCATTTTAATAGTGATTTAGGCAGGACATCAGTTTTAGTGCTTTTATATCTCATTGCAGCCTATGATACTGTCAGTCACAATATTCTTTTACACAGACTGGAAAAGCAGTTTTTTCTGGAAGTATTTTAAAATGGCTGAGATCCTATTCAGAGGGCAGGGATATTATGTTGTCACTATTTGGAACCCTAACTCAAAGCACATGCCCTTGACATGTGGTGTCCCATAAGGATCCATTCTCAACCCCCTTCTGTTTAACTTGTACATGCTCCCACTTGGCCCCATTCTTCAGAACAACAATGTTGCTTATCACAGTTATGCCAGTGACACCCACATTTACCTCACTCTGTCACCAAACAACTGCAGTCCTATTAATTCACTATGCAAATGCCTTGAGCAAATGAATAATTGGATGTCTGAAAATTTTCCTGAAATTTAATTCAGACAAAACAGAGGTAATTTTATTTGGCTGCAAAGATGAAAGGCTAAAGGCTACTGCTCACCTGAAGGACAATGCACTACAAACTAAAGAGCAAGTTAGGAACCTTGGTGTTTTAATCGACTCTGACCTAGGTTTTAACAGCCACGGGGAAAAGCAAAAACAAAATCAGCATTTTATCATCTTAAAAATATAGTTAGGAACCTCATGAAAAGACTCATGAAGACTTGGAAAAGCTGATTGATGTTTTTATCTCTAGTAAAATTAATTACTGCAGTGGACTTCCTAAAAAGACCCTCAGGCACCTGCAATTCATTCAAAATGCAGCTACACAAGTTCTGACAACCCACATCACACCAGTTCTTAAATCTCTGCACTGGTTGCAAGTAGGATACATAATTTATTTGAAAGTTGTTTTACTTATTTATAAATCTATGCGTGGAGTCAGCCCTAAATACATAAGCTTTATATAGCTTATTATATATTATATAGCTATATAACCCTGCAGACCTCTTAGAGCCCTCTGGAGTGGACTGCTAGTGGTGACAAGGGTAAAATCAAAACCGGCAGAAGCAGCTTTTAGTCATTATGCAGCACAGCGCTGAAATGTTTTTAAAACCCAGGGGCTTGTTGTTATTGTGGTTTTACTATATCTATTTATTTATTTTAAATTATTTAAATTATGCTTTTTAGTTTTTAAGCGAGTTGTTTAATTTTGAATTTTGTTGAGTTTTACTGACTAAAATATGTTTACCTGTGTTTAGGTTGAGCAATGAAGGGAGAGCCATGATGTTGCGGCAGGTCATGGCCAAACCCCGGAGACAAGCTCTAAGGGGAGCTGGTTACCTGTCTCATGCTCAATCCACCTCCTGCCTTTCCCTCACAGAGGAACTCTTCTTAGATGCTGCAGAATATGGCAACATTCCTGAAGTGAGACGGATGATAGAGGAGCTGCAAGACCTCAATGTCAACTGCGTAAACTACATGGGCCAGAATGCACTGCAGCTGGCAGTTGCCAATGAGCATTTAGAGGTGACTAAGCTCCTTCTTAGGAAGAAAGACCTCGCTAGAATAGGAGATGCTTTGCTGTTAGCCATCAGTAAAGGCTACATCCGTATAGTGGAGGCCATACTGACCCATCAGGCCTTTGCAGACGGTCAGAGGCTTACTAACAGTCCCGGCCAGGCAGAGACACACGATGACTTCTTTGCCTATGATGAGGATGGCACACGTTTCTCTCACGACATCACTCCCATCATCCTGGCTTCCCAGTGTCTTGAATATGAAATAGTGCACATACTTCTTATGAAGGGGGCCCGCATAGAGCGACCTCATGACTACTTCTGCCAGTGCACGGCCTGCAGTGAGCAGCAGAGGCATGACTCATTTAGTCATTCACAGTCCCGCATCAATGCGTATAAAGGTCTGGCCAGTCCAGCCTATCTGTCCCTCTCCAATGAAGACCCTGTGATGGCGGCTCTGGACCTGGGCAACGAGCTTGCTGTTCTGGCAAACATTGAAAAGGAGTTCAAGGTAAAGTATTTTAGTTAAATGTACAATTGTCAGACAATAGCTCAACGTCATGTTCATTAGTAATTCATAAAAGTATAAGAATAAGCTGCTATAGATTTTTGCCTTTGTCTGTTGCAGAATGATTACAAGAAACTGTCCATGCAGTGTAAAGACTTTGTGGTCGGACTTCTGGATTTGTGTCGAAACACAGAGGAAGTGAAGGCCGTCTTAAATGGGGACATTGATTCATGTCAAAGCTCTGAAACCTTTGGCAGACAGAACCTTATCAGGTTAAAACTTGCAATAAAATATGAAGTTAAAAAGGTAAGCATATGAGAAAAACACTTACATTTTTAGGATTAGAATTGATGCACTTGTTTTCATCTTTAATCTTGTGTTTTTCTTGCATTCAAATATTATAATAATAATATAATATACTCTCCCTCTCTCTCTCTCACACACACACACACACACACAACACACACAGCACACTTCACAACCTCCTAATGGAGCAGTTTGTGGCACATCCAAACTGCCAACAGCAACTCCTCTCCATCTGGTACGAGAACTTGCCTGGACTGCGTCAGCAAACCACAGCAATTAAAATCCTTCTTGTCCTTGGTATAGCTGTTTGGTTGCCTGTGCTGGCCTTTATGTCCTGGATAGCACCATCAAGTAAGGTTAGTTACCGAGAAGTCATTATTTTAACTTAATAATTAATCAAATATTCTTCATTCATTGTCTTGACTTTTAGGAAACATTTTAACACTTTTAACAGAGATAAAATGACAGTGATTGTAATAATACTGTGTGTCAGGTCTGTGGGTTTGTCAGCTTATTGTGGAGCCTTTCTGCTCCCAAGTGACCAAACTAGGTGAAAATCAGCTTTAAATGTCCAGTTTGTAACATTTAGGATCTATTGGCAGAAATTGAATATAATAATCATAGGTATAATCACCTTAAAAAGATTATTATGTTTTTGTTACGTTAGCAAGATTTTTATCTACAGTACAGAGGGGCTGGGTTGCCATGTTTCTACCCAGAACGGACAAATCTGGCTATAGATAGATAAGGCTTTTTCCTGGCCACTGTAGTTTCTCCTGCGGTCTTGGAAGGGGAGGGTGAAACCATAGAGGTGCAATCTGTAACAACACTGCTAACGTAATATTAGAAAAATGATTCTTCTTCTGGTTCAGTTAACATTGATAAGTATGTGTTTCAACATGCTGTTGTCTACTGCTATATCGAAGGAAGTTTAGTGTTTTGGCCTAAAGTTTGGACCAATCTCTTTCTGCTTGCAAAGATGTTATTCTGTCAGAGACTGTACCCATACAATAATGTTAAACTTTGTTCTGTTTGCAGTTAGGGAAACTCATGTGTGGACCTTTCCTGAAGTTTGTGGCCCATGCAGCTTCCTTTATGATATTTCTTTGCCTACTGGTCCTGAACGCGGCAGACAGGTTTGGGGGAACATCGCTGCTGCCTAACATGACCATCCACGATCACCCCTCACAACTGTTTCGTATGAAGACTACCCCCTTCACCTGGATGGAGATTCTCATCATATCCTGGGTCATAGGTCATGAGTATTATCATACAACACCCCTACATCCCTTCTACATCCCTTGTACACAATCACAACTAGCATCTATCCTTTCATTATGTTAATTTATCCCTCCGACACTTGTCGACTTCTCATAGTTTAAGTCATGCTCCCACACTTTTACAATTACATCACTCATACACGTGCATGCAGGGTCAAGGATATTATAAGTCGTTAAGGGGTTATAAATCCCTAAACATCTATCATGCTACAAAATTGCCCGCATATATTATGTATTCTTACCACATGTACCATAATAAATCAGACCGGTAATGACTTTCCAAAGACTGAAAAGTCAAGGTGACACCTTTACTTAGCTCTACAGGGGAGAGTTTGGAGCCATACAGTATTAGTAAATCCTATGTGATTTGACTATCAATTCAAGCCTTATTTATCATGTTTATACATTTTAAAATCATATTATTATTTCATTTGAGAGAGAAGCAGTGTGACTGTCAACCAAATGTGTGATTTTTTTTTCCCCACAGGGAAGATATGGGAAGAATGTAAAGATATTTGGTCGCAGGACATCCGGGAATACATCTCAGAACCCTGGAATCTTCTTGACTTTAGTATATTGGCCATTTTTATGACCTCTTTCATTGCCAGATTAATGGCCTTCTGGCATGCATATTCTGCCCAGTGTTATGTTGACAAGTACTATACTGATCTGTTCAACACAACCTTGCCATTTGAGATTCAGTATTTCCAGCTGGGTAAGTGAGAACTTAAGAATCCAAGTGTTGTAAGTAGTAATTTTTCGAAAAACGTATGAAATTGAAACCATAATTTTTGTTATTAAATTAAATTAATTAATTAATAATTAAAGAGAATCTCTGACTTAAATCTACACTGGATGTTGATTTTTATCTTTTTTTGGCTATTTAAAGACTTTTTTTCTCCTCAATAATTTTGAGACCTAGGACAGGAAATCTATCAAAACAAAGCAATCCAGAGTCCTTTTTGACTACTACATTTGCTTATCTAAATAACCATGCTAAGTTTAGTTCCTTGTATGAGTTCTATACACAGGTAGTGATCTAAATGAAGTTAAATATTACTGAATGAAAACTGTCAAATGTGTCTATTTTCAGCTCGAATCAACTGGATGCCCTCAGACCCGCAACTTATTTCTGAAGGCCTCTATGCAGTTGCAGTTGTGCTGAGTTTCTCTCGCATTGCATACATTCTGCCTGCAAATGAGAGCTTTGGGCCTCTACAGATCTCTCTGGGAAGAACAGTAAAAGATATCTTTAAGTTCATGGTGATTTTCATAACAGTTTTTGTGGCTTTCATGGTGGGGATGTTCAATCTGTACTCATACTACCTCGGAGCCAAGCACAATGATGCCTTTACAACGTGAGTGCCAGTAGACTGTTGCAATAACACAGTTTGGCTGAAAAAGCTTGTAAAATATTTTCCATTTGTGCCTTAGGTTACAATCTGTTTTGATTTTGTAGAAGACTGATGTATTAGTTGTACTACACTAACTTTTATTCCCATCTCTCTGTTCCTCCAGGCTCGAAGAGAGTTTTAAAACATTATTTTGGGCCATCTTTGGCTTGTCAGAAGTGAAATCAGTGGTCATTAACATCGACCATAAGTTCATTGAGAATACTGGCTATGTTTTGTACGGGGTGTACAACATCATCATGGTGATAGTCTTGCTGAATATGCTCATTGCCATGTTCAACAGCTCCTTCCAAGAAATTGAGGTACGTCCTAACCATCCACATTTCTGAATTAATATTCATTTTTGTTTTGATAATGACAGAGATAATTACCATTTTGTAAGATTGTAAGATTACAGCAGTTTTATAATAGTTTAATTTGAAAATAAATTCAATACATGATATGCTTTACGGCTGATGTATGCCAAAGTTATGTATTTGGTTTAAACAGTAATACTGCAGATTTATTGAAGAGATGTAGATAAGCAGGTGGAAGCTGCACACATTATTAACTTCACTGACAACTGACAAACTGTTGCTCATTAAATGTTTCCCCTGGCTTTTCCCCCTCCTTACCTTTTTCTCCCTGTTGGTGCAGGATGATGCTGACGTTGAGTGGAAGTTTGCCAGAGCTAAGCTTTGGTTCTCTTACTTTGAGCATGGTGTCACACTGCCTGTGCCATTCAACCTTGTACCCAGCCCTATGTCTGTCGTTTCCCTCTTGCTGGCGATAAAGGAATTTCTCTGGCATGTACCTCAAGGCAAAAGCAAAGAAAATTCAAATGATGAGATGGAACTTAACAAGGTGAGGCATCAGCTGCCGACGCAAATTATATTTCATGTAAACAAGAGGTTAGAGACATTTATAATACTTCTGATGAGGTTTACCTGTGTTCTCTGATACTGGTCTACAGGGCCCTCTTGTGTCACATTTACAAGTTGCAGGTGTAAGTGTGTCCCTTTAAAGCATGTTTTAAAATAAATATTAACAGTGCTTCTTCTCTTTCTGTTGTTTCTAATCTAAGTTGAGGCAACAAGAAGATCTGAGTGTGGAAACATCGCTTTGTCCAACCCGTCACCAGGTAAAGCAGTTTTCATTTCTTAAAGCTAATTAATTCACCTGCTAATAACTAAGCTGTTGAGTTTCCTGTGTTGCAACTCTAAAATGTTGAGAACCACCAATCTAGACACTTTAAGTTACTCAAAAGGAGACTAAAGTACATGTGAAGCACTAATATAATGTGTCAGTCAAAACCATACACTATATAATCAAATATGCTCACAAAAACAAGTTGGCTTCTGCTCTTATTTTTCAGTAACTAACTCAGATTTTTTCAGAACAATTAGCTCATCAGTTTAAGACTAAAATATCCTATTCTTTATTACAGAAGATAATGAACCGCCTCATCAAAAGATACATCTTAAAAGCACAGAGAGATAAAGACAACGATGAAGTGAATGAAGGTGAGTTTAGCAGGTCTTCTGGATAAAGTGCTTTTCATGTTTGGATCACTGAATTACTAACCTCATTTGATGCTCTTTGTACCACAGGTGAACTTAAAGAGATCAAACAGGACATCTCCAGTCTCCGCTATGAGCTGCTGGAAAGGGGGAAACACGACATGGAGACACTGGCAAAGCTCATCAGGCAGCTGGGAAAAGTAATGGATGTTCAGCAGAAAGAAGAGCTGGTTCCTAAAGAATGTAACTATTAGAGTTGTATTTACTGTACTCTTCTCATTAATGAGGCATTCAGTCGGGGTCAAAGGGCCCTTAGGCACAGAACCTGCACGCATTTTTGGGCATAAAAATTATCATTTATATTCTGTATTTTAAATATAAAATAGATTGATTGATTTTTTTCTCCTTAGTGTAGATGTATCACTTTTGGAGGAGAATTAATTACATTATCTTTGTCCCAGTCCCTGTATGTGTACAGTTAATCACATGGTGGCACTGACTTTTTTGTTGTTGCACAGGCTGTTACACTAACATGCACTACTGACTGCGAACATATGATGGTGCTGCCTGTTACCAGCTGTTTAGGTTTTGATTTAGAGGTGATTTTTCTTTCTGAAATAGAAAAGCAGTTCAGATAAAATTAAGCATATGTTTATATGTATCAGTGGTATGCGGACATAACTTAAAAATAAATGAAAGCTTGTTGGTAATAACTGTCCTCAGACCTTTCCTGAAATCTCAAGTTATGAGATTTTCTGTAACCTTTACATTTTCATACAAGACATTAACTTTTAATTTTTTTAATGTTGTGTTTCATTCAAATGTTGATCACTAAAGCATAATGTTTAATGAATATAATTAAATGATTATCTTCTTCACTTCAGAGGGTTTATGTTTTTTTTTTTAATGGTTGCAGCAGATGCTGTTGTGCTCTCTCATGCTTGCTGTGAAGCAAGACAAATGTCTGAGAACAGTCTGACCTGTCACATAGACAAACAGCTCACCTCCATCTACATTCGGCCAGGAGAGTAAAAGCTGCTGCCAGACTTTAGCTGTCAAGTCCCTGAACAGAGTTACTGTGAAGCATTTATACCAAAAAAAAAAAAACTAAGGGTTAGACATCACAACAGCAAAACTAATGAAATAACCACAAAAAAACTTGTTAACTGTATAACATGAACACCATGAGGCCCAGTAAAATGCATTTACGTGTCTGCAATATTGTAACTTTAATCAAAAAGTACCAGAAGATGGGATTAAACAAGAATAGAAAGCTGTGACCATGAACCATGAGTGTCACATTTACAGATTACAACTTTGTCTGAAGACTAGGCCATTACAGCATTTGAAGAACACATCATGTAGATATGAATATGAAACTGTTATCCAAGAATTATGTAGGCCACAGAATGAGAATCCCCTCTGATATCACACAGATGACGCAGAAAAGAGGGCCAAGGCCTGTGTGTGCATCATAACTACATGCATCAGCAACATACTCGACTGATTAACTTGAATAGTAAAACCCTCTCTGTTATCTAGGATAACAGCAATATAAATTAGATCAGTACAAAGGAGATGAGCGTGCTGTCATAACACAGTGTCCTTCAGAAATGTGGAGAACCACCATACAGACGATACAAAGATAAATGTTCTTCACTTCATCAAATGCTGTTCATGTATGTTTGGTCAAATACACAATAAAAACATAATGTTTAAATAAAGAACTTATAGCCTTATATAGAAAAGGGAAAAACATGAAAATTAAAGTAACTAAGTAAATATAAATTGTGTTTTGCAGAAAACAAAACACAAAGTTACATTTATAATTGCTTTGACTTATTACAGGCATTATACACCATTAACTTACTTGAACAGCTCACTGCCACTTTGGATTGGATGATGGCTCAAAGTGATAAATAAAACTTCACAAGGAAGGGATTTACTCTTGTATAAATAAATAAATAAATAAATAAATAAGACAATATTGTGTCTTGGTAACGATAACAATGGATGAGTTTTGGGATTATCATGAACTTGAAAGCGATCCAATATTTGGCAAAACATGCTGAACCTCATTCGTAAACAGCAGGGTGGAGACTAATGACCCTTGACATTGAGGTGATCCATCGTCAATTCTCCTCATTGGCTGGCTGTTTTACTGTAGGTCTGCTGTAAGGGTAGTCTTACTCCATAGATTTCTCTAGCGTGGCTCTGCATTGACTCTCTCCCTGCATCCTTCGGAGGATTGGTTATTTAGTCTTAATGAGGAAAGCCATTGGAAATCTGTGAAAAAAGGAAAAGAATATTCATTTATTTTTAAAACATGACACCCACAACCAGGACAAGGAAATATGGGCTACTTGCATTTACTTAAATATGCCAGGTTTCATTGCTTTATGAGCTTATAATTGCGCACCTTTAATCCCTAATCATCAGCAGATTCAAAATTGGTTCTCTTTTCTTTTCTGGGCAGCTGTTTTATTGTCTGGAATAGACTTAAGTGAAAGAAGGCGAAGTCACAGCCTTCCCTGACGAGGAGGAGGATTACAGGAAAGTCTCTGAGCCACAATTTATCACACATCGTCCAGCCCCCGGACGCACTCCAGTCTCTGCTGAGCGCATCGCGGTTCACAAAATGGAAAATAAAATAAACGGAAGGATGAGCAGCATCAGTACTTCGATCGCCGATTCCACCGATACAAGAGTAAGCGACTTCATTGGAACTGGATACAGTAATACTAAATTATCGAATGAGTCACAGTCTCTAACTTGCATGTCCTCCGTGCGTAATTTTGGGAATGCCGGCAGACTGATCCTGGGTCTAAATTCTAGCGGCGACGGCGCAGTTTTCAAAGACTGTAACGTACTCGATGGTTCACTTGTTGCAAAACAGTTTTATGATCGTAGCAATGAATATCTGAAGTGTAACAGTGTGCCGTGGGAAGATTTTGCAAATGTTCAGGGGACGGATTTGGCCACATCCGAAAGTTTGCCTGGCGCAACTTTAAGCCTCTCCTCGACACCTGTAGCGTGTAAGTTCATCAAAGATGAGATGGAGCCTTCTGTGATTATGGACAACCCCTGTCCCAACTTTGATGCAACATCGGAGATACCTGCTCTTGACTCCTGCTGTGACACCGACAAGAAGCAGCACCTGGGACTTAGTGACGGGGAGTCGCCAAATTTCACGCCGGCGGGTCCTCGACCGGGGTTGGAGGGATCTCCAAACTTTCTGATCGACCTGAACCAACCGGAGCAGCTACCGGCGCTGAGCCAGGTGAGGACTGACTCCATGTGTGGTTCGTCCGGGAAGGGTGTCATCAACTTTGATGCCAATAGGCACACAGCCCCGCAACTGACGATGTACAAGAACGAGGTCTCCCGTTGGCAGATGCAGACGTCTCCAGCTGAGCCTCAGTACTTGTCTGCAGGGCTGTCCGAAGACCCGTTCACACACAGCGGCTATGATGGGATCCAAAACCAGGGCCTGTCTCAGAGGAACCCATCACCTTTCTCCGCATTCGCCGGGTAATTAGTTAATTAGTCTTAATTGTTCACCTTCAAGTCACTGTCGATATGGAGTTATAGTGTTCCATATCACTCATGAACTCTGAATCTATGTGTTTGTGTGCCAGTTGGAGTTAAAAGTTGGAAAGTAGACAATAGTTTTGACAGATCATAGACCTACATACATTGACGATCAATTAGTAATTAATGCCAGGTGTTAGGACACATTATTTGCCACTCCACAACAATCACCTGTTTGAGTCACTCAGGCTGTGTCTGAGTCCAAGAAAGTAGAAAAAAATAACTGTTTTCTTATAATCAGTCACTTCCACTCACTTCTCTACATCCACACTGTCATCTATCTCAGAGTTAATTTGTATTTAAAACAAGAGTGAATGAGAACATCTGATGTTGTGGTTTTTATTTTTTATTTTTTTTTACTTTGGGCCAACAGAAAGCTCCTGAAAAACATCTTGAAAACCATTAACTATCTCTTTCTCTTCACCCTTATATCTTAACATAAACTCGGGTCCTTGAGTCTTGTCTTACCTTGCTAAGAAGCAATTAAATAAGCTTTAAATTCACTCAAGGGTTAAAAGATTTAGTCATTCAAATATTATAGCAAACTGCTTATATTTAGTTATTTTATTTAATCAAGCATCAAACTCAGATGTTTTACCTCTTTATGTTTCTTATTCTGTGTACATTTCACCATCATGTGTACAGTTTATAGGGGGATTGCATTTTCAAGAAGGGCATTCTGCTTTAACCCAGAATGGACCTGTCTGTCTCTCATCATATGAATTGAATTTAATCAATGTATGTTTTTTCTTTATCCAGTATGCCACCTCAGAGAATGTGTGTGATTTGTGGTGACGAGGCATCTGGTTGCCACTATGGAGTCTTAACCTGTGGGAGCTGCAAAGTCTTTTTTAAAAGAGCAGTTGAAGGTGAGCCAATGAAATCTTTAACCTACTTCTGGAAATGTTTTACACACTTTTAGTCAAATATTGTCCAAGCCACATAGATACTGTATTGAGACTGTTATGATTTGGACAAGTCTAGGTCTTCAGCTACAGCCGACAGTTTAACTGCTTTTATCCCAGATTGTTTTTAAGATATCTTTTAACACCTGGCCTGTGACACCTGACCAAACATGGTAGTCAGTCAGTTTCTGTTTATCAGCGGGCATTGTAGATGTCAAATAAACTAAAAGACGAAAAAGGAAGTAAAAAACACTAAAGGAGGGGTTAGAGGCTGTAACTGAATATTAATCTCTAATATCAGCTATTGCAGTTCTACAGTGAATCCTCTGGTACATTGAAGGGGAGTTAATGTCAAATTACTGACCTTCTATGGTAGTTGTTAAAGGTCATTAGCAACAGTATCACATTGACAAGTGTTCACCGTGTTCTTCGTCTTGAACTTGTTTTTCTTGTTATCTTGTAACGTGAGATATGTAAGAGCCACTATGTCTCACCATGGCCATGTCACTCTGTCCTCACAGCCTTGCCTCTATCTAATTTTCTTCCTTAGATTTCTCCCCAGAACGCTGCCTCACTGTGCATGGAGTAGCCATGTTAATAGTCAAGAGCCCTTCAACAACCTTTCTCCTCATTATGTGCCTTTCCTCCTCCCTATTTGAAATCCAAGCACTTTTAAAATTGTGTTCATTGTCCGTTCACTCAACAGGCCATCATAGCTATCTCTGTGCTGGGCGAAATGACTGCATTGTGGACAAAATTCGGAGGAAAAATTGCCCGGCCTGTCGCCTCCGAAAGTGCTATCAGGCAGGAATGATGCTCGGAGGTACCATTTGGTTAGATGTCTTTTTGCACAGGGCTAAGACAGAAATGAAAGAAAAGTCACAATAATCATGACTAGCTATAAAGAGAATGTTAAAAGTGATCAGATAAAAAAAAATAATAGTGAATTAAAAGTCCTTTTAAAAGTAGAAGTATAGAGCTCTTTTTTCAAATGCAGTCAAACCTGTTTTACCAATTACCAATTTTACCACTCAAAACTTCCATTTGTGCCCTCAAATCTAACCAGACCTTGTATTTATGTCACAGGCAGGAAGCTGAAGCGTTTTGGGGCCTTAAAAGCCTTGGGTTTGGCCCCGTCCCTGATGTTCCAGTCTCACATGGCCATGTCCAGTGACAATCAGACCTTGTCTTGCATACCAGGCATCCGTGAGGTGCAACTCTCCCAGCAGATCATCTGTATCCTGGAAAACATCGAACCAGAGGTCGTTTACTCGGGTTTTGACAACACCCAGCCTGATGTTACCCATCTTCTGCTCAACAGTCTCAACAGGCTGTGTGAAAAACAGCTGCTGTGGATCGTTAAGTGGTCCAAGTCTCTGCCAGGTAACGTCTCTCTGCAGCTCAGGGTCACCATAAGTGTCGCCATGGGAATCCATTGGCAGGCCTCGCCAAAGGTCTAAGCCTTAACCACTGACTGAGATAGACGGCTTTGTAATGGCATGAATATTGGCTATATGAGAAGTCATTCCAAGTGTTAAAAACCATTTGTTTGTCAAAGGAAATGTTAAAATTAAAGAGGATTTTTTAAAAATCTTTAGCAATTATCTTAAGCTAATGCCAAAATATTGGAAAACCAACCACCACCACTGGGTATGATGGTTTATTAGTGCACAGGTGACAAATGAAATTATCTCTAATATATTTTCTTTTCTTTCTAAGGGTTTCGTAATCTTCACATCACGGACCAGATGACCCTCATCCAGTACTCGTGGATGAACCTGATGGTGTTCGCTCTCGGGTGGCGCTCCTTTCAGAATGTCACCAGTGAATATTTATATTTCGCACCTGATCTGGTTCTCAGTCAGTAAGTAACTATCATCACACAGGCAACCCTTGATTAACAATGATCTAAAAGAGTTACATTTTGTTTTGTTTTTCTCAATATTGCTCAGAACAATTAATCAATTTATATTTGTGTACATCAGGGAACAAATGAGGAGATCTCCAATTTATGACCTCTGCCTGGCAATACAGTTCATCCCTCAGGAATTTTCCAATCTGCAGGTCACCCGCGAGGAGTTTCTCTGCATGAAGGCCATAATATTACTCAACACAGGTAAAATACAAAGGACTTACTGAATCAGGCACAAGATGACTCAGTTTTTATCTTATGTTGACCTTTTTTTGAATAAACAGCACTAAGTATACAGTGTAGCAGAGATGTCAAGCTCTGATGACCATCTACTGGAGAGACGCACAATAAAGGGAGTGTTGTACAAGGTGACTGGACCTTGAAAAGATTTATGTAGCGGCTGCTATCAAGTTCTAGTTTTACACTGAGTGAAAAACATTGTTTTGAATAGTGGTATGTTACTTGACTGGCACTTCTGTTACATTTCCTTATTGTTTATTTAGGTTTTAAAACAGAGTAATAATTTTTCCACATTTAAAAGTGTCTAGTATTTGGAGACATACATGTTCTCCCTTTTTGTCCCTTCTGCTCTCAGTGCCTCTTGAGGGACTGAAAAGTCAGGGAGTATTTGAAGAGATGAGACAAAACTACATTCGGGAGCTGACCAAGGCAATCCACATGAGGGAGAAGGGCTTGGTGGCCTGCTCACAGCGATTCTACCACCTCACCAAACTGATGGACGCCATGCATGATGTAGGCTCCCTCATAGATCTGAGTACAAGAGCATTAATTCTATGTCTTAATCTGACTGCTACTTTAATGAGTACTAAGACAAACATGAATGTCTCTTTTCTGACAGATAGTGAAGAAGGTCAATCTGTTCTGTCTGAGCACCTTCCTCCAAGCAGATGCCATGAAAGTGGAGTTTCCAGAGATGATGTCAGAGGTTATTGCCTCTCAGCTTCCCAAGGTCCTGGCAGGCATGGTGAGGCCTCTCTTATTTCACACCAAGTGAGGATGTCAGCACAGACATCACAACTCTGCAGAGACATCTTGTGACTGGATGACTGACCCTTCAATTACTGGATTTTTCATAGCCTTCGCTTGGGTAGTCAGGCATCTATACTTTGCCAAATTGCATCTAATGGTCTTTAGCCCTTTTACTTCATGAGGTGAAGCAGAATGAACATGTTCCTTAAAATATATGTTTTTTAGTACACAAATATCTT